ATATATATATATATATTCCGAAAAAAATGAGATAATTTTTTGTGTAATAATCCGAGTTTCATCAATCACTTCCAAGTTTAACATGTTAATACTGGGGCATCCTTATAATGTGCAACTCTTATGAGAAATTATACTAAGATGGCAAAGTCATGAGTCTTATTAAGCCTTCATTTGATATGACTTTCTTACTGCTTCTTAAAATAATTTTTTAATATATAAATTAAAATTTTTTACTATAACATTGCTTAAAAAACAGCAACAAAGATGTCACAAACCGAATTTAAGTCAAGCAAATTAATATCACGATGATGAACAAGAATTTGGGCTTTCTATTATTATAATTTGGTGTATATAATATTTATGTTAAATACTATTGTTTAAATACAAGCGATTACATAAATAAAATATGCATAAATATATATATATATATATATATATATACACACAAAATAATATTTTTTTTTTCCGTCACGCGATAGAATATCCGCTTATAAATCATTTTATTTGTTGATCAAATTCTTTGCCCCTTCCTTATCCTCCATTCCCTCCCATCAAGGGCTGGACCCCTTGTTCCTCTTAATTTCTCTATCATACTCTGCACTCTTGTTCACTCTCTATCACTTTCTCTATCAAAAACACACAGATACTTTTCGTTTCTCCAAGGTCCTGCTCCTCTCTCTTTTTCAAGCTATCTGGTCTTCTCTCCAACATAGCCATAAATTAAAATTACAGGCACAACGGAATAAGCCACATATTATTTTTCTTTCTCCTTCTTTCTTTCCTTCCCCCTCTTCTCTCTATAAATTAGCTAATCCATTCCACTGTCGATCTCTCTATCTAGTTCCATATCCCATCTATCAGGATTTGAGTTTGATTTTTTCTTGATTTGAGAGTCCGCCATACAAGTTTGACACCCAGCTCCATCTGCAAACTTATTCAGACAGTAAGATCTTCCTATCTCGTTTTTAAATCTTTCCAGACTTTGAAGTTCTGTGAACTCCTTCCCATTTCTAATTGATAATAATATCATCCCTCTCTTCTTTCTGCAAGTCTCTCTCTCTCTCTCTCTCTCTCTCTCTCTCTCTCTCTTCTTGTCTGTCCGCTTAAAATTTGGTAGTACTGTCTAATTCCACCTGTTGTTAAATCCCTCCTATTGGAAACACTCGCCAGTCCACCTTTGTTCGCTCGCGCTTTCTTTCTCTCTCTCTCCTAAAAAAGATCAGTCCGTAGCTCGCATTCAGACCATCTACAGCCGGTGAATCTCTTGATCCATAAAATATCAAACATGGTTTAAACTGCAATATGGAGGGAGAAAACATTGGAGGAGGAGGTCCTCGCCGGGCCAACTTCCCTCTCCAACTCCTTGAAAAAAAGGAATCAATCGACGACCCGAGCTGCTCCACCTCCGCCGCCGCCTACCCCACCCTCGCCATATCCTCCTCAGCCGCACCCAGCCCCACCCACCACCACCACCAACACCACCACCACTCCCTCTCCATTCCAGAGGAACCAGCTAAAAAGCCCCCACCAAAGCGCAGCTCAACCAAAGACCGCCACACCAAAGTCGACGGCCGTGGCCGCCGCATCCGCATGCCCGCCCTCTGCGCCGCTCGCGTTTTCCAACTCACTCGCGAACTCGGCCACAAGTCCGATGGCGAGACCATTGAATGGCTCCTCCAGCAAGCCGAACCCGCAGTCATCGCCGCCACAGGAACCGGAACCATCCCCGCCAACTTCACTTCCCTCAACATCTCCCTTCGCAGCTCCGGCTCCACCATCTCCGCCGGACCATCACACCATCTCCGCTCAGCCGCCGCAGCACACTACTTTTCCTCCGCCGCGGCAGCCTTAACAGCATCCCCTTCCGTCCGCCTCCGCTCTGATTGGGATGTTGGACCTTCCTCTACCCCATCTCTCCTCAACTTCCAGGACGCCTCTGATGCTGAAGCCGCCGGAAACATACGTAAGAGGAGGTGGGATCAGGAGCTGAACCAACAGCAACAGCAACAGGCGATGGCTGGATACACAACGGCATTAACACAAGGGCTGATGCCAACGCCTATCTGGTCGGCGGGGGGAGGGGCATCAGCGTCCGGCGAACCGGTATGGCCTTTTGCCCATATGGGGGCGGCGACCATGTTTCGCGGATCCATGTCAGCTGGTCTCCACTTCATGAACTTCCCTGCGGCTCCCATGGCTTTGCTTCCCGGGCAGCAGCTCGGCCTCGGCTCCGGCAGTGGCACCGAGGGGCATTTGGGGATTTTGGCTGCGCTCAACTCGTACCGACCTGTCGGATCGGGTCATGAAGTAGCGGCGACCACCCATCATCATCATTATCATCAGCAGCAGCATCACAGTGGTGGCGGAGGGAGCGAGAGGAACGATACGATGAGCACAAGCGACTCCTAGCTAGGTTTGGCGTATCTCATAATTAATTCCGTGTGATTTTCCAGCTTCCCTACGATTTTATCCTTTTTGATCTCATTGTTCTTTGTTGAAGCTTTGTTTCACTTTTTCTTTTTTTCTTTCCTATTTTACTTATCTGCGTCGTCGACGTCGTCGACTTTGGTTCTTCTATTAATATTTCTTTAATGTTTTGATCCGATGACGAACTTGATTGAGATGATTAATGCCGATGGAAGCCATTCTTAGCTCCCCTTCTTTCTGTGGCATTTTAGGGTTTAACTTCTTGTGATCAGATGCCCTCATTCCAGTATTCTGAGTATTAATTATGCTTTACGATTTCAGTTCTGCCACTTCGAGGTAAAGCAGAACAATGTGTTAACAGTATACGGATAGGGAGGAAGACAATGCCTACTGTTTCCACACAGTGAGTCAACAAAAAGTAATTGCTTAGCTCCACTCTTCATAATCCAATATTTCAATATGATCATGGCTTAAGAGTATCTGTAATGTCTTCCAGAATTCATAAACCTGTATGCCCTTCCCTATTTTCGTTAAGAATTATCAAAAACTAAATAATCATAGAAATTAAAATGCGATTTCTTCTCTTTAATTTTCTCTTACTGTCACCAACACATCAAAAATTTTCTCTTTGCGAAGGGACAGAATAACAATTTTCATCATTTTATTTTTGCCATTTTTCCAATTAAATATATGAGCAAGTTAAAATAGAAGGATGAAATTTGAATGCAGTCGCAAAGGCATGCGGATCTTTTAAATAGTAAAAATATTCAGCATTATTATACCATGATCATCATTTTGCTGTTATATTTGATTGCTATTTCCATGTTTGTGCGAGGGTGTAGTGGGTGGTCTCTCTAATTTCCAATCAGAGAGTGGAAGGAAATGCAGAAAGAACATGAGAAAAGGCCAAACTGGCTTAATAACTAGCAAGAGCTGTCGGTTGTTTGGTTCCCAAATTTGAGCTGTCACATGTTTGATTGCCATAAGAAACCCTAGCTAATATTTATAGCAATGGTTGGGTTTCTCTCTCTATCAGGTGGAACCCAGCCTTTGTGTTCTTATCCTTTGGTTCTTCTTTGTTTTAAGAGCTATGATGTTGTGCTAGCTAGAAACTAATAGGTTCCTTGGGTTCACCTAGCGTTAGCTGAAGCTTGTTGCCTTTAATTATGAACAGTAAACTGGCACGAGCGCTCACACACATGCACATTCCTTAGAAATATATAGAACCATAGATGTTATAACTTCGCTCTTTTTTTTTTTTCTTTTTCGCTTGCTTGGACAGATGCGGTAGCTGAAAAAGACTTTTTTATGAGCATTTAGGGTGGTTGGTGGGGCTTTCTTAACTCAAATACTCATTTTTCTGCTAATTGTTTACATAAAGGGAAGGATTTTCCTACGTACCTCAATCATTTCTCTTGATACACCCGTGAAATTATGAAAGAAAGTAAAGCTTTCTTGCCTAACATTTTCCCCTTCTTAAGGGCTGGGCTAGTTGGGGACTTTCTAATGTTTAAATTTTCTTTCTTTTGACTCGTCTACTTAAGATATAGTGCCAGAGAGAGGTAATTTTTCTTTCTTTTTTTTTGGGAAATTTGAGTGTGGTAAATTAATTAATGCATTCCTGAGAAATAGTACTGAAGGACAGAGCTCTTTGAGTATTTGGTGCATGATTAATTAGCTTGGGAGTGGAAAATATTAATGAAGTAGATCGAGTAAAAAAAAAATTTTTTTTTTTTATAAGAATGGTTGTCTTGTAAATAAATACTACTCAAATTTATCTTTATTATTATCCAGAAAATAAAAATAAATATTTTTCCAAATATTCAGAGTGGACTTACAATTTCATAATATATCTATTACAACAGGCATCTTTAGTCAAATTCCATGAAGAATATTCGGAACTAAAACATCTTTGTGAAAGAGAGTGAAAGGGTAGTTTAGACAAAAAGCAAGGATATGTTGTTCATCTTGCATGGAAGAAGTGCAGCTCTTTTTTTTCTTTCCTTCCCCCCTTGATACAGACTTTACCCAAAAGCGCTCCAAATTGCTCTTTTGCAAATTGCGTTCTTCTCGGCAGCTTTGCAGGGGGTGAATTGTCATAAAAATGCACCGCTGATTTCATACAAATCATATTACTGTAATTATTATGAAAGTGCCATACAGTTATAATCTGGAAAAAGCTTAATTTTCCATAATCATGAAGCTTTGCCATTTGTGCTATGCAATTATGAAGTGTACGTGTGCGTGCGCTGGATATATAAGTCATTAATTAGCTGGAACCCTAAACACCTTGATGATGATGTGAAGCTTAATTAGTAATGCGCCCGGGTCTGAACATGTCATGATTCTTGTTCTTTAATTAAATAAATACTTTGCCACCAACCTAAACTTTGATCAGCTAGCCTCTTTAGAAAGATTAAATTAAGCGTCTAAATTATTAGCTAAAAACATCTTAATTCGCTGGAAATGTAGAAGAAGTTTCCAGAGAAAAAAGTTAAAAAGAAGTATTATATATATGACAAACACCACCTTACAAAGATTAAGATATATATAATGATCATTCTTTATTTATTTAATCGTCTAAGGTTATTTAATTTTTTTTCCGTGTACTTACTGGTAATCAAGTTTTTGTCGTCGCCTTGCTGGAATGCATGGTTGGCAGAAATGGGCTCCATGCTTGTGGAGTTAAAGCACTGGTATCAATAAGCCCCAACTCTAAATAGTAATTAATAACGTTCGCAACACTAACCAGAAAGCTACTCTCACATTTCGCCCAACGGCAAGGTGTTGATTAAATACCACTAAGGGGTCCATTACTATATATATATAGTACATTTTAAATGTAAAAGAATAAAATATAGTTCAGAAAGAGTGGAAAGCTAGTTTGTTTTGCTAATGAGATTGGAAGTGGGCATAATATGATAATGAATGAGCAATTATTCAACAAAAACTACTTAAGCTAGGTGATGAGGGTCTGTCATTGCTAGCATATGATGATCCTTGTTAATTAGTATAAGAGGATATTGGCCTAGTAGGCTTATGGCTTCAAAACACTTAGCTAGAGATAGCTAGGGTAGGTCTATGGATAACAAAAGGAATATCATTGAACTTTTTTTATTTTAATAAATTTAAATCAGCTTTAAATGATCTAAATTGCCAAAATGAGGGGTTAAAATATTTATTGTAGCTTAAATGAAATCAGTATATGTTGAGATTAAAATTATAGGCTTTTTAGGTTCTAGATGGCTCCCAAAGTAAATTTCATTAGTTTAGAAAAACACATCTATTAGTTTATATCATTTTAAACATTAAAATTTCAACTAGGCTTATTGAGGAATAGAAATTTTGTAATATATTTTCTCTATTTTAGAATTGTTGTTTGGAAAATGTAGAACCATGGTTTAGGTGATTTGAACAAGTAATTAATGAAAATATTCCATTTACCCTGGTGATTAATTGTAGCCCATGGCATGATCCAAGGGCTACTGTATCATCCCATACCTCAATTTGGTGAGGAAAATATAGAAGATAACTAGTGGTCTACGAATTAATTTCTCTCCAATACTTTAGCAAAATCAAGTGATGTTGGACTATACAAAAAGCTTAAGAGGAACTTTATGTAGCAGAAATAATTAAAAGCATAGGTTATTAAGTTATGTTCAATTAAAGTTAGAAAAAGGCTAAAGTGAAGAATAAGTTACTAAAGCTTTGGTCAGTGTGCCTTTTTCTTAAGATATCTCCCTACGTATTTACATACAACCTCCTCCTTTGGTGAAGGTTCTGGGGAAGCTATCTACAAGTTATGGCATTGGTTCAACAACTTCATAATTACCATGACTTAGGGAAGGTGATGGAATAAATAATTTGGATTGAGACTCATTGGGTCAACTACATGAACTAGCTCCTACCATCTTCATCTTTTTAAAGTTTGGCATGCCTCAATTGTGGTCCAAGAATCTTAAATTTACTTTGTGAAGTCGATCTCTTAGGTACTTTTACATATCAGACATGGATTGGGATGTTGGGAGCGGTGTGAATAAAATAACCTTGGATGCTTGAATTAGGCTTCTCAATGCCAACTGCTAATTAAGAGTATCGTAAAGGAGTTTAACCTAGCTTAAAGACCTAGGAAAGTTTGTGATAAGCTAAAATTGGATTAAAAAAAGAGGAGGTGCTTCAAATGCTTCAAATGCTTCATTGGCTTAACCACTTAAATGGATTTAATCTCTCTTAGTACGGAACTAGCTTAAATTAGCTTGCTATGGGCCATGGGTTCATCCTAGACCACATAAGGAAGATTAAAGGAACATTTAGTGGCTTAGCTCATGCCAATTTTATTAATGGAATCAAATTGATTCATTTAGTCATATTAGACTAATCCATATTTTATTTGGGTACATACTATACTGAGATAAGTCATATATATCTCTTGGTCCATTTGTCATCACCTAAGGTCCATTGGTGAAGGTTTTAAGATTAATTGGTTTGATTGATTCAAGAATAATCTTATTAGGCTAAGTCTAGATTAAATTAGACACCTTCTAGCTATGACAAGGGTTTCCTATTTTGTTTATAGATACATATGATCAATTCAGTCAAGAATCTATGTTCACATTGTTTTAGGCTGACTCAATTAAATAACATTAGGCTTCATTAGGTTTATTGTCATTTAAGCAAGGTCCAAAACATATGAGACAATGTTCTATAAGTCTTTTAAATTCTCTTGACTTGCCAGGATTTAGTGGGGGATGGATTCAGGCATCAATTTGGATAGTTTAAAGGAATTAGCCCTAATTGTGCCAATCTACCAAAAGTTGCATGAGCCTAAGTTTATAGATTAATTAGAAGTTATGGGACTAATCTTAGGTTAAATTTGGCTCATCTATAGGCTAAATTAATCAAATTGGGTCATTAGAGTGAAGTCACGCCTAAGTTAGGCCAAGTAATGTCCAAATTGAGCTAATTTTGAGGAACCAAATCTATGGCCTCAATGGGCCACATAAAATATAAAAATTCAAGATTTAGTTTACAATAGTTTTAGTCTAACATTAAGCCAAATGTGAGTAAAATTATTGCAAATTGGTCAAGAGAGTAGATTGACTAGCCACATAAATTTAGGGTTAAAAGTTCAATTAGGCTCATTAAAGTTCAATAGAGGATCAAGAAGGATAAGATAGTCAATTATACTTAACTTAGCTACCTTGGGTCATTTAGGTACATTTGGCTGTG